TTCACATAAGCTCACGACCTCATCCCGCCTCTGCCCTCTGTTAACAGAGGGCCCTCTATTACCCCTTCTCCTTAATGCCTCACTTCCTCCCCAGTGTCCGCCATCATCCTGGATATGTGTTACATGCACCTGTAGAGGTTGCATATTGACAATAATTCAATTGTCTTTTTTGTTAATGTTTTTAATGTCATGTTGACTTTATCTTCTTCTGGGCGTGCTTAAGGGTGTCTAATTTATTCTCTTTCCACCACATTTCTAAAGCTGTGCTGTGTACATACTTAACATTTAATTAAATTAATTAAATCTATGCAATTGATTTCATCCAAGGAAAACCGCACTGAACCGTGGGGCCCAGGCAATGGCAGTGCCAGTCTCTGCCTCCAGGAGCGAAAGTGCTGTCGTCAGTGGTTAATTTTGATAGCTTGCCAAAAAGATTAAAGCAAAGCAAGCTACAAATTGTTGACAAAGTCTCTCCATTCTGAGATCTGAATTTGCATATACAAATAACAAGCAAATTAATAGACATCTTAAGCATAATATAATAGTGCATCTAATTAAGTGATTCAATTATTTTAACAGTTTCAAAATAGTAGCTCAAATTAATAGGAATATGTTTAATGCTCAAATAAAAATTTAAGGCCATCACCAAGGTTCATTTGGTGTCTGGTGTCATCTGTGTGACTCCCAAAAGCCAGTTACCTGATGATCCCACTAGGTAGAAGGAAGAGATTATGCAAGAAAACGTTCTTAATATCATGTCAGAGGGACAGAAAGTCTGGCCCCATCCAGGACGTACTCACGTGAACTTTCTTGTACAGAAGAGCTAGGACCCATGACACAGTAGAGTGTCAAAGTAAGTCAGGACCTGGCCAAAAAAAAAAAAATCATCTCATCATTTAATGGAAAGTTGACGGGGCTAGAGTTTCTGGGGATTTTAAAGAAACATGTAAACTAGTTGTTCTAAGTGTCCAAGAACTTAAATGAAAAACAACTCTTGTGCTGGTTGGCGGAGAAGCTTACATTTTATCTAAATAGGAAAAGTTACCAACAAAGGTAGCCAGCTAAGCTGTCTACAAAATCATTCATGGGACTACACTTGCCATTTCGCTGCACTTTGAGCTCAATTTGTAAAGAGCTTCCAAGCCACATTTCAGAAGAAATATCATTAATAAGATGTCCATCTTTCGGTCCTAGGCCTGGGCTACAAGAGGGCAGAGTGCCACTTTGAAATAGCACAGAATTCCACAATGTGCAGACTTGCCTCATTCCAACCACCTCCCTTTGAGGCTGTGTCTCTGTTGACTGAGAAGCTAATCACAGCACATCACCCCTGCAGTGACTGGGTTTTTCCAAGGGGCAGAGCTTCACTGGAGCCAAGCCAAGCTGATGCTTCACAAGCACAAAACTAGATCATGGCATTCCCCATTCAATGATTTTCTCTTCAGCTACCCTCATGTCCTTCGTAACAGAATGGCCACACAATTATCCTTCTGCCTGACAGCATAGACGAAGAAACGCGAGTACTACTTCTCTGGGCCACCTAGCAAGTATCAGGACTTAATTTTTTAATACCTAGTCTGATTCTCTCATGTTTTCAGACTATTCTTGAAATTGTGTCACATCTAACTGCAGGATAGCTGCCATTCTTAAGAATTTAAAAATGAACCTCAGCCAGAAAAACAATATGGACTAAATTCCTTCTCACTCCATAACATTTAGTATTCTTAAATAATATGGCTTTAATTTTCAAAATATTTGGAGTTATAGCCTTCATTCTTTTTTTCTTTTCTGAGGCAGCATCCCACTCTGTACCCAGGCTGAAGTACAGTGGCAGGATCATGGCTCACTGCAGCCTCGACCTCCTGAAGCTCAAGCGATCCTCCTGCCTCAGCCTTCCGAGACGCTGGGACTACAGGCAGGCACCACCATGCCTAGCTAATTTTTGTGTTTTTAGCAGAGACGAGGTTTTGCCGTGTTGCCCAGGCTGGTCTCAAACTCTTGGGTTCAAGTGGTCTTCCCACCTTGGCCTCCCAAAGTGCTGGAATTACAGGTGTAAGCCCCACCGTGTCTGGCCTATAGCCTTCATTCTTTTTCTACCTTCAATAGTAATAAAATTATTATTCTACATTTGCAATATATTTCACAGGTTACAACCAGTTCACTAACATATTTGACTGAATACCCTAGAAGTATCCTGCGAAGGGAGAGTCCCTCAATTTAACTGGATCTGAGCTCACAGGTGATGGGTCAACCTCTGCACTTGAATTATCTTTTCCGTGCACCAAAGGTACTCTGTGTTCTTACCTAACCATGTAGACATGGATGAAAGTAACGATCTTCAACTTTTTTTTCTTCCTTATTTTCCTTCTGAGGAGGCTTTTTAGATGTTTTGTTCTCCTAATGACCCTGCCTCTGAAATTTAACACCACAGATATACTATCCACCAATTTACGTATTTTATTTTATCTGTATTAGTCCATTCTCACACCACTATAAAGAAATACCTGAGACTGGGGAATTTATAAAGAAAAAGAGACGTACTTGGCTCACGGTTCTGTAGGCTGGCTGTACAGGAAGCATAGCAGCTTCTGCCTGTGGTGGTGGGGACGGGGATGGTGTCAGGAAGCTTCCAATCATGGCAGAAGGCAAAGTATGTAAAAAAACCTAACAATACGTATGCTTCATAGTCGGCCTTAACAATAATAAGCTCACTCCCCTTACCTAAATAATGCCTAGCATTTTACTGAATTGAATGTTTAAACCATAGCATCCTTATACATCAGATCCAAATATTATTTTTCTGCTTAATTTATAGGGGGAAATGTACATACTTACTTTTAGATTATTTTATTTTTAAGCACCAGAAATAATCAGATTGAAGTTGGTCCTCATGAGAGACTCTTGATGATGGGTGCAAAGGGATGTCTTAACACTCTTTAAAATTCTTTATAAACCGGCAGGACTTCATCCACTGAGAATGCCAGGTTTATTTACATTTCTTCTTTTGGTTTTACACCTTCCAAGTTTGTTGTGAACAATTTATAATTTGTGTCTCACTAATCTTCTCACCCCACCACTGAGCACTTGGTGTAGCTCCTAAGACACAATCATTGACCTTAGTTTCCATCCTCAAACCTTTCTTTTTGAGTTAGAATAGAAATAACACTTTCTCAACTATCCCTATCCCTGGCTTACACTCAACCATGCCCTAACAATCATGATACAAAGTGAACCACAAATTATTTCATCTAGATTCTGATGAAATATTTAAATCTCACCAGTAATTGCAAATTTAATTATTTTTATTAGATTGCTTATTATATCATCTTTTGGGCCTAGGTTTTGTGAGAAAAAATTCTATTTCTTATGAATTTGAAACTTTCATGCATAAGCTGAAACACACAGTCATCCCCCCACCCAAAATAACGGAAATTCCATGTTCTGGCATTACTGTATGGAAGAAATAGGTCAAGATGATCAGTGAGCTTGAGAAAGATAATATTTGTGAAAAGTAACTGTGTTACAGTCAGAGAAACTTTGATTCATGAAATGTTTTATAGTAACATAGAATAGTCTGGTATTTTCCATTTGTATATAGGAACATTACTGCTGAAATATATTTCAGTAATAATATATATTACATGTTATAAAAGGCTACAACAAATTTGGCATCATCTTTCTTGAAGGACAAAGTGAATCACTAAGATTACATATAAATTTCTTATCTATGGATATAAACTTACCATAAACAACTGTTTTATTTGAAGTAGGACTGAGATTTGGAAGACCTAGAGTCAAATTTTGTTGCTGAAACTCAGATGTGTGATCTGAGACAAGCAAATTTGTGTACCTATCCTAACTTTCATTTGTTTCTCTATAAAATGGGGGCAGTAATCTTGAAACTGGCAATTTAGTGTATGGTTTCAGTCACCTAACTGAAGTGAACGCGTCTGATAAATAATAAGACACTCATTTAATATAAATATATGTAGCATATCTAATGAGCAATAACTTTGGAAACTTAGCACATGCCTTTTTGAGATTAAATACAAGAATGTTTAATCTTGCTGCTTCAAATGGCTTCTCAAATCTTAGTGAAGAAAACAAAACAAAGTCCTTTATATTCAAGAAAAACTGTGAGCTATGAGGAGATTTAAGAAAATCAGAACAAACTAAGTGTAATCTCAGAATATTATTTTTCATGACAAGGAACAAATTTTTAAGATAGGTTATTAATTATGGCTTTCTTTTTTGTAGGTATCTCTTTGCTTTCAGTAGATTCATGATGAGAGAGAGAGAAGAAAGGAGGAGGAAGGAAGGGAAGGTAAGCGAAGGTAAGCGAAGGGAAAGGAAGGAAAAGGAAGGGTAGAGGAGGGGAGGGGAGAGGAGGAGAGGGGAGGAGGGAGGGAGGAAAGAAAGAGAAGAAGGAAGGAAGGAAGGAAAGAAAAAAAGAAAGAAAAGGAAAGAAGAAAGAAAGAAAAAGAAAGAAAGAAAGAAAAGAAAGAAAGAAAGAAAGAGAAAGAGAAAGGAAGAAAGGAAGAAAGGAAGAAAGGAAGAAAGGAAGAAAGGAAGAAAGAAAGAAAGAAAGAAAGAAAGAAAGAAAGAAAGAAAGAAAGAAAGAAAGAAGAAAGAAGGAAGGAAGGAAGGAGAGAGAGAGAGAAAGGGAGGGAAGGAATAAATTAGCAATGGAAGAAAATCACCAGTGGTTCTTTTGCTCCTCAATTGTCACCCTCCATCTACTCATGTCTAAGGATTTCTAGCTTCTTTATTTTGCTTTACCAAGAGCCAACCAAAATTTTTAAAAGTTCTGAGATCAAGATTCTATGCAAAAGCCAATTTCACATATGTAACATATGTATGAAGCAAACATATGTTAGCAAAGTACAGTGAGACTCTAGAAAAAAAAATACTCCAAAATTATAAAGCTAGGGATTTACAGTTGTTCTTTCCATTGCATATCCAGAATCAATGCAAGGGAACATAAAATGTTGGTAAAGTATGTTAAAGGCTATCAAGATAGCTAGCAAAAAGACCTAGCCAATATTAAGTGCTCAATAAATGTTAGTTTCTGGGGTTCTTTTTAAATTGTTTGCTTCTTTGTTTTGTTTTTGTCAATGATCTGTAAATTTGTGAATAGTCTCGCACAATTTACCACAGATATAATCCTCCCTATTTATACATATCATCACCTTCTTGCCATTATGCACAGATTAAGTTACTCTCTTCAACAAGCTCCTCATGGCATTTTTTACCTCTGCGTTTCTCACGGTGTAAATTACAGGATTTAACATGGGAGTGAGGATTGCAAAGAATACAGTCACCAACTTGTCCACAGAGTAGGTGACCACAGGACGCATGTAGGTGAATATGCAAGGCACAAAAAAGAGTACAACGACAGTAAAGTGGGAACCACAGGTGGAGAGGGCTTTGCGCCGTCCTTCAGAGCTATGGGATTTCAGGGAGCTCAGGATAACTATGTAGGAGATGAGGAGCATGGAAAAGATGAGCAAGCACATGGTTCCACTGTTGGCTGCCACCATCATCCCAAGTCTGTAGGTGTCTCTGCAGGCAAGTTTCAACAATGGGAAGAGGTCACACATAAAGTGGTCAATGACATTGGGACCACAGAAGGGCAAGTTAGTCATGAAAAGAATCTGCATAGTGGCATGCAGGATGCCTCCAATCCAGGCTATCACCACCAGAAGGTGGCAGGTCCCTTGTCGCATAATGGTTGTGTAGTGCAGGGGCTTGCAGATGGCCACATAGCGGTCATAGGCCATGACAATAAGGAGGATGATCTCTGAGCCTCCCAGCAAGTGCTCCACAAAGAGCTGAGTCAGGCAGCCAGCCAAGGAAATAGTTGTTCTCTGGTAGAGCAGGTCGGTGATCATTTTGGGGGTGGTGACAGAGGTGTAGGAGGCATCTATAAAGGATAAGTAAGTGAGAAAGAAGTACATGGGTGATGAAAGTGTGGGGCTGGAGGAGATGGTGATGACAATGAACAGGTTGGCGAGCACAGTAAATAGGAAAATAAATAAAAAGACAATAAAGAGTATTTTCTGCAAGTGTGGATTCTGTGTGAGCCCCAAGAGAGTGAATTCAGTCACGTTGTTGGGAGGCTTGAGGTCATCCATTCAGAGAGTAATAGTTTCCAGGGGTCTGAATTACCTACACGAGATAAAGAAAGATTATCTATTAATCATTAAAGGATTACAGTCTGAATTTCACAGTATAGAGATAGGGTAGTTAGATAGGGTAGTGGAGCATGTCTTTGGCTTCCCTCACCCCACTAATTATTTAAATTATTCATTTTCACTTCCTCCATAATGCTTTCAGTCTCTTCAGATCCCTAGTATTATCACCTGCAAAACATTTATAAGGCAACAGTTCCCGTGTAATTTGCTGAGAACATACTTGACTACATACATGAGATCTGGATTCTTCCTCTTGTTCCAACTCCATGTGACTTTGCTAAGTTGTTCCAGTGTCCCATGCTTCTGAGCCATCCTCCACATCTGTGAGTTTACAAACTGTAGCTGTGAGATGGATTTTGTAAGCTATAAAGTGCTGCACACAGGTAAGGATTGTTCTCCCTTCCCGTAAATTTACATTTGAACCCACAGCTCTAACTGGGAGAAAGATGTGGTCAAGAAATATCCATCATAAGTAGGCAGATTAGGGAAACGTAAGTTGTCAGAGACGCACTCTCCCTAGCACCCACCATAACAAATATGCTATTCATGTTGCTTTCCTCACTGCACCTATGCAGTGGTTGACAAAGTATCTTCAGTGCCTGGCAACCACCAGGCAATGAATACATGCTTGGTGAATTCCCCTACATCTTCCCTTCCTACATCTCCATGTGTAAGGATGCATGTGTTTCTCTAGCCCATAAACCTAGAAATTTAAGTACTCTTATCCTCCCACTCTGTTTATTCATGCTCTCTACCTCAAGAGAACATAAACTTTTGAAAGGAAGATGCATTCCAGTTTAATAGTTTCTATCATATAATATACGGTGAGGATGGAAGTATCAATTGCCTGCAGGAAAGACTATGTACTGGGTAATTTGATTTTCGAGATAATTACGATGTTCTTTTTTTTTTTTTTTTTGACAAAGTCTTGCTCTGTTGTCCAGGCTGGAGTGCAGTGGTACAATCTCGGCTCACTGCAACCTTCACCTCCCCAGTTCAAGCAATTCTCCTGCCTCAGACTCCCGAGTATCTGAGATTACAGGTGCACACCACAACTCCCAGCTAATTTTTTGTATTTTTAGTAGAGACGGGGTTTCACCATGTTGTCAAAGCTGGTCTTAAACTCCCGAACTCAGGTGATCCACTCACCTTGGCCTCGCAAAGTGTTAGGATTATAGGTGTGAGCCACCGTACCCGGTCAAATTCTTTAATTAATATTTTTTATTCCTCAAAATTATGTTCCACATACAATTTAACACAGTCCCAACTCAGTAAATTTAAAACTTCGATAGACTGGTATGTATATATAAAGAAACTCTTGGAGAAGTTTTTCAGTCCATAATCTGTCAAAGCTAAAGAACCCGTTATTTTCAAAGTTAAAAAATAGAAACTCAATGTAGAGAACAGAAATAGACTGCTAGATAAGTAAAGTACTATACAGATATATACACACACATACACAAACACAAACATATAAAATCTACTAGTTACTATAAGTAAGTATCTATGACTTACATATTCACACATTCAGCAAATACTTATTGGACACTCTACATATCCTTGTACTTTTGCCGGTATAAAATCATAAATATGTTCCTGACGGAGCCCTTTTGTCAGCTCTCCCTTGACAGTTTATTACCACATAACAACAATTCACCTACTCACAAGATGAATAATCCCTTCTACTACTTTATTTCTGCTGTTTACATTCTCATGCCTTTTCCTCCCACTCTGCCCTAATATCCATCGTACATCACTCTTGGTTTGAGAAAACTGCATCATTAATACAAAAGGAAAAATTATCCCAGTTTGGAGACATGCACTTTCCAAAAATATGAAAACAAGGCTGAGCATGGTGTCTCACGCCTGTAATCCCAACACTTTGAGAGGCTGAGGTGGGTGGCTCACGAGGTCAGGAGTTCAAGACCAGCCTGGCCAACATGGTGAAACCCCGTGTCTACCAAAAATACAAAAATTAGCTGGGATAGTGGCGGATGCCTGTAATCCCAGCTCCTTGGGAGACTGAGGCAGGAGAATCGCTTGAACCTGGGAGGCAGAGGTTGCAGTGAGCCAAGATCGCTCCATTGCACTCTAGCCTGGGCAAGAGTGCGAGACTCCATCTCAAAAAAAAAAAAAAAAAAAAAAAAAGAAAACATAAATATAACAAAATGTATTCTGTGAACTATATTTTTCTTTTGAAAAAATAAGTGGATAAAGGGGTTTATTTTTTAATTGTTCAGGACAAAACTCATGTACATATGTGAAAGCAAAGTGCAGCCGCTTCATCTTTTTCTCTTATTCTGAGGTCAAGTCCCAAGCAGATCTGAAAGAGTATGGTGTGTGTAAAGTAAGAGAAGACATAATAAACCTGATCTAAAAATAAATATGAATAAATTAAAGTCACCTTGTCTTTTTCCTTGGACTTCACCATATTTTTTCTAAGAATAAATCCTGAAACAAAATATTTTAAAAAGTGAAAAATCATTCAGTACTAATATGTTCTACAAAATTATTAAAAGCTGCCAAAAAATTAGGAACTCCATGGAATGTCTCACATTAGAGAAGTGGATAAGTAAGATATACTGAGCCTCTCAGAATACTGTGTAGTTTTTAACAATGTTCTTAAAATTTGTGTAATATCAAATGAAAATTTTTACATTGTAACATTAAGTGGGGAAAATGTGGACACAAATTTGAATACATAATATGATTCTAATTAATTTAAACATATATCAATAGAAAAAAAAGACCTTAAAATATTTTTACTTCTAAAGTGGTGGGATTATAGTTGATTCTATCTTTCTTGATACTTTACATGCAGAAGAAGAGACTTAAACCTTAAATTGATGGGGAAGAAGGGTGATTTTTAAGGTCCATTTAATCCTGAGATTCTATATTTATACTATTTCTTAAAAAACAAATCTCACCTATTAACTTGTCTGGCATAGCTCCATGGCCAGAGCCCCAGGCAGCTGTTAGGTCATCAAGAAGTGAAGTTGTAAGATAAAAAATGCCAACTAGCTCAGCTCCAGTAGGTCTTTGTGGATTTATAAATGGCATCTTTGGATAGTACCTTCCTCTTGAGTCTTAGAAGTGCTACCACACATCCTCTTTGCAGGCAAATTCTGCAAAGTTTCTTAGCTGTGGTTAATTAGACCTCACGGGTGTTTCACTATTATTAGCAGACCTTGCCTACAGCCTAATTAGTTCACATTGCTTAACAGAACATGAGAGGAGAATGTTTGCAGCATTTATCTTTAATTGTAACTCCTTGCTTAGGTCTGCATGAATATTAATCACATTGTGTCAAAAAAAAAAAGTTGACTACTTATAAGTTTGGACATTTGATAATGTATCAAATAAACTTAGTAGGGAGTCTGGATATTTGGTATTGTATAAATTAAACATTTGGATGGGTAACTGACTTAAATTTTTCGTTATAATATTTCCTTATTAACCTATCTTTCATGGTTATCATAATTTTAATCTGTTTTCAGATGTAAATTAAGTGACAGTAATGACTGCTAATAGCGGCACTTCACATCAGTCATAGCTGATAGTACTTCGAAGTACTTGTTTCTCATGCTAATTCTGGAATCAGATTAACACGACAATGATGAAAATAATTACATTCTTAAATTATATTCAGAGCAGTAAAATTCATTTATGTCAGTCATTTAAATTTAATCTAACAATATACCTATGGCATGGGAAAGATATGGGCATCAGTATTCCTTCTTTACAACATGGAAAACTAAATCAAGGAATTAGAACCTCCTCTGCCAAGGCAAAATTAGAAGCCAAGCCCCCTAAATTCTGGGCCAGGATCCTTATTCTTAAATTACTGTTTTACAACCAATGTGTCATGAAATTTTTATGTTGTTGCCAATTGTGAAGCATGTTAGAATTATCTACTAGTAGAAATATTTACCTAGTGTAGTGCCATGATAATAATATTCATGAGGGTAGGTGGCAAAGAAAGTTTGAATGAGGATTTGAAACTATCTAAGGAACTATAATAAATATGGATTTTGCTAAGGTGTCATCTGTGAAAATGTCTTGAACTGTCTCAAGTCTGGAGTGAAAGCACACAGCCAGATCAGAGAATTTGCATGTACTTACAAGGTCATCATGCCCAACCTAATAAAATGTTAAACTCTCTTCATCATGGCCCATTAACTGGCCAGCCAGTCTCTAAATAGCTAAGAATGGTGATAGATAAGTGTTCTCTGGAATCCCTACACCTGTCTAGTCAAGCACCCAGGATCCCGGAGTGGCATGGAGTGAAGAAAGGACAGTCTACAGAGTTAGGTCCCAGTCAAAGAGTGTTGAACACAAAGGTAACTTTTCAAAAGAGGAGTTCCTGGAGCTATAAGAAAAAGTCTGTTTCCAGAATACAAGTCCAAAAAGTGAGCAGGAAAAAACTGAAGAGACAGCAACACAGATTTTTCCAACTGAAACAGTAAGCCGGAATAAGCAAAAAAATTAAATACGGATCAGATCACAATTGGTAAGAAACCAATTGAGTATAAATTTAACATTTGACAGAACCAAGTCAGGAGCTAATTAAACAAAAAGAAAGTGTCTGACAGTGTTCTTATGGGCAGTTTAATGCACTTCAATAGACTCAAGAACACATTCTCAAAGTAACAAAACACTCAAGAGCAGAGCTCATATTTTCTTAGTCCAATCTAAAGTCCCCTTTATCCCAGGAGGACATCTCGTAAGTTGTTTATTAAAAATTGGAAAGTTTAGAGTTGTATTCAGCGGCTGGCCTGTAGACACACAATCCCTCAAAACCCTTCCAGTTTTCCCTCTTCTAGTTATAGAAGAAAATATAGCAATATTTGTGATACTAAATATCTTAGTCTGGACATAATCACAGAACTTGTAAACACCTTCTAAAAGTTCTAAGTAAACTACTTGTAGAAATAGGGAGAGCTATTTAAGGTCATGGAATGAGTACAGTGGAACAGTAAGAAATAAACCCATGTCTTCTGATCCTGAAGCTGCTGTTTCCACCATGTTTCCACAATCATGATATACTTGCTAACTATTGTCACATCACAGAGTCTACTGATGTTTTTAATAAAACATATGGTAACCATGAGTTAGGAGGCTGGATCTTTCTGTCAAAAGAGGTAGCTATAAACATATCTATGAGATACATATTGTATTTTGGTAATAGGCCACATTTTTTAAAAGATCCAAAAGTTATTCATAACAAAATCTAGTAAGTTAGGTAAGTTGTTTAACTGAGAAATATTTTTGTTGGTCAACCATCAATAACTCCTGTTTTC